GGGCCAGTTCAGCCCAGCTCCCCCTGCCCGCAGGGGCATGCTGCCCGCGGGGCGCCGGGTCGCAGGGAAGCCCCGCCCGGCGCAAGTCCCGCTTCCCCAGGGCTCCTGGGGCCCCCGGGCCAGCCGGCCGGCTCCCCCTCACTTTGTTCCGGCTTCTTCGCTTCGCGCCCAGGCTCCGGTCGCCCGATTCGGCGCTACCTTCGGCGAAGCGGCCGGGAGAGGGGGAGAGAGAAGGGGGTCAGAGCGCGGGGGATACGGGGGAGGGGCGCCCCCTCTTCCCGCGGCGCAGCTGGAGCAGGATCTAAGGGGTCAGCATCGCCCCGGCTCCGCGCCAGCGGCGGCGGGGGGAGGGGAGGAGGGATCTCTTTGGGGGTGGGTTTGGAGGGGGTGGGGGGCGGCTCCTTCCTCCGCCCCGCGGCGGGCTCACGGTCCGGGAGGGGCGGGGAGACGGTGGGGGGCCGTCCCGGGCGGGGGTGGAGGCGGAGATGCCGCCGCCGCAGCCGCCGCGGTGGCTGCCGCTGCCGTAGCTGTCGCCGGCGCCACTGCCTCCTCCTCCGGCCGAGAAGCGGAGCGAGCAAGCGAAAGCGGCGGCGAGGAGCCCGGCGCACACCACAGCTGGATCCCTCACTCCAACTTCAAGCCTCGGCCCCGCCTCTCCCCAGCCAGCCTCGCGGCCAATCCCCGCGCGCCGCCGGCCCAGAGCCGCGCGCCCATTGGCGGGCCGCCGTGGCAGAGCGGGCGGGGGCGCCGGGGGAGAGAACCACAGCTGGAATCCGGTTCCCACCCCGAAGCCCAGGACCGCCCCTCTCCCCTCCCCTTGCCCCTGGGTCCCCTCCCCTTGCCCCTGGGTCCGCTCCCGAAGGCCAGAGCCAATTAGACGGCTACCCAGACCGAACCCACTTTCCTATTGGCCGCTGGGGTCTCTGGGACTCCCCTGGAGGGAGCCCCGGGGAATCAGAGTATTCGGCTCCGGGTCCTGGGATAGCGCTGCGGGCCCCGGGGCATCCTTTGTCCACGACCCCTAAAATTGGACCACAGCCGGAGGGTGGGGCTCAGCTCTGGGCGGGCCTGGAGAAGAGAGGTTGGCAGCCGGGCTGTGGGGTGTGACCAGGATCCCAGGGCGAAATCCTGGGTCTCCACCTGATCAGTCGCCCACCCTGGAATCGAACCTGGGAGAAGGACCGAAGAAGGGGAGGAGCGGAGCAGGAAGTCCCCGGGGTAGGGCTTCAGGTTGGAGGGGGGGGCGGTCTCGGGGAAATGGGCGGAGCCAAGGCAAGTCCGGGGCGAGCAAGGTCTGGGCGTGGTTTCCAGCAACCTCTTGGCCTTGTGGACCCCTCTCCCAGGTCCACTTCTGAGACTTTGACCCTGACCTTCTAACCCTGACCCGCCGACCCTGACCTCACGTCAACACTCCCGAGCTTCATCCCCTTTGCCCCTAGAGATCCTTCGAAGGCTGTGGATCTCCCGCAGGGGCTTCGCGCTTGAACACGTGGCCTCAGACAGGTCATGCCGGTCCCAGGGTCCAGGGCCCCCAGAGCAGCTGAGGAGCAGAGAGAGGCTCCCGCGAAGGGACCTGCGGGGGCCTCGGGTGTGTGAGAGGGGGTGGAAGCATGGAGCTGGGCTTTCTGAGTCTTGACCTGCAAAGTCTCACCACCCCCCCGCCCCACTCCGTGCCTCAGTTTTCCCCTCTGGAGTTCCAGTATGGCTGGGAGGCTGTCCGCACACCTCCGCTCTACCCGGAGCGGGTCCCCCAGGGTCGGCGGGTCTCCGCGAGCGCACACGCACGTGCACGGCCGGGTCTCGCCGCGCCCCAGCTCCCCGAGTCCCCGGGCTCAGTCAGCTCCAGCCCTCTCCCACCGGCGCCCCGCAGGCTGCAGGTGCCCGGGAGCAGAGCGACGCGGGAGTGCTGGGCGCCGGAGTGAAGTGGGGCGCGGAGGGCATCGAGCCTTAGATGTGGGGAAGCGCTTCCCACCTCTGGGAAGGTAGACCCGGCGGCGGAACCAAGCAGGTCAGTCAATTCTTTGTGCTGAGACTCTCGGGGCGCTGACGCCACTGCGGAGAGGCGGAGGCAGGGACCGGGTGACCTCCCGCCCCCGCCCCCCCCAACTTCCAAGGCTGCGCCACCCGCGCAGCCCCCGCGCGCCTCGGGCCGCCTGGGGTGGGTGTCTCAGCTCCCTCGAGGGCGCGTTGCGGGGAGTGCAGAGGGGAGGGCCACGCCGCTGCAGCCTCCCGGGTTGCCCTTTCGCCGAATCCGGGCACCGAGTTGTGCAAATGAGGCCGAGCTCATTTGCATTCCATGCTAATGAGCCGATCCCTTAAGTGCCTTTCCCTCCTGGCGGGAGTCTCTGCTCTCATTCCGCGTGTGCCCTGCCAGGCTTGAACTCTCAGCGGTCTTCTGGGAGAGGGGCCTATTTCTGGTTCACTCCACGTGTCTGACACCTTCGTCCCTCCCGCAGGTGGCAGTCTGCCTAGTGGGCCTGCCCTTCCCCAACAGGGTCAAAAAGCCCCAGGGCTGACACCAGGAGGTAGTGACTTTAATCATACCCTCTTTGCAGAGGGGACGGCGAGCCCAGAAAGGCTCGCCCAGCCCAGTGGTCAGGTTTCCTGGTGGTCAGCTGGCCCTACACCTCCATCCATCATCCAGACCACCTCTGTCTCTGAGCTGAACTCTGTTCTAGAACATACCCAGAGAGGGAGCAGAGTATGGGGCAGACACACATTTACTTCCCTGGCCTCGGGGACCCGGGGTGACCTGCCACCTAAGGCATCCTGATCCCTGGGCGGGGGCACCGGAGGACTCTGACATCCATTCAGAGATGCTCTCTTCGCCTGAGGGGGGATGGAGAGGAGGGAGGCAGGACCTACAGAGAAGGCAAAAGGAGGAGTGAAACCATCTTTAACTCCCACCCTCCAAGCCTCGGCTCTGCCATCACCCCCTCAGAGTGCCCTTTTTCAGTAAGTACTGCGGTGCCTACTATGTGTCAACATGCTGAGGACACTGTCCTGAGCCAGACAAGAATCTGGACCCTCATAGCACTTGATGTTAAGGTGTGTAGTCATGAAATGATTTTCTGCCCCTCTAGGCTCTCTGTTCCCTCAGGGCAACGGTTACGTCCATTTTGCTCACCAGAGCCTAGTCCGGTCCAGCTTGGCACGTAGTCCGTACTTCATAAATCTTTTTAGATGAATGAGTAACCTCAGGCAGGGAGGAGAATGAGGCACAGGAAGTTCCTTGGGCCTCAGTTTCCTAACAAAGAAGTCAGGCCTAAGTGTTCTCTAAGATGATTTTGGGGTTTGAGGGAGGGCCTTCATATAGGACCTGCTCTGCCAGCCCCTTCAGCCCCCTCCAACCCTCTCCCCTTTACACCTCCTGCACAGCCTGGCTGGCTCCCTCAGGAACTGAGACGATCTTCCCATCTGTGAGCCTTCTCTGCTCAGCGATGATACATCATCCCATGTCGTCACCTCGCAGCCTTGGGAGTTGGGTGGTGGTTGTCCCATTTTTTAGATAAGATGACTGAGGCTCAGACAGATGAACTTAGTGAAGTGACTTCTCCAACTGTGAGGTCCCGTCTCCCCTGGCACTGGCCCCCAGCTCCTCTGGGACAGCCCTGCCAAGGGAAGAGAGGCAGCGGACGTAAGAGCCCGTATCTGAGCAAGCCAGATATTCAGCCTTGCCCTAGTCAGAAAATGCTAGCTCTCCTGGAAGCCTAACCCGTTAAGGCCCTAACTCTAACTCCTTCCTTTGAACTTACAGAGTCCCTTTGTCGAGCGCATGCCTGGTACCAGGGGAATGGAAAGAGGACGCAGAGCAGAGGGAAGACTGGCTAGAGAGGGGTGGGAGACACCAAAGGCACCCCCTTTCACAGCCGCGCTATACCTCCTGGGGGGGCGGGGAGAGAAAGGCTCAATACCTCCTGGGGCGGGGGGAGAGGAAGGCTCAGCGGTTTTTATTGTCCCCTGAAGACCGTGGAAAGAACCAGATGCGCTGAGTGGTCTCAGGCCAGTCTCTGACCCTCTCTGGGCCTTGAGTATCTACCCACAGGCGGCCAGAGGTACCTGCCTTGTCACCTCATTCGTGAGGGTCAGTGAGACGGAGACAGAGGGTTTTGCAAACTGCCTAGACTTTCCAGAGCCAGGGCTGGCGCTGCCAAAAAGGCCACCTGTGCTTCACCAGCTCCCCACTCCCCGCTCACTGCCCCCCAGACCCGGCTCCACTTGCCCAAGCCTCAGACTTCCTGCCCGAGGCTGAGCAGGCTCCAGCCAGAAAAGGGCCACCTGACCTTGTTGGCTGGAGCCCTAATCCCCTCCAGATGGGACGGTGGCTTGCACCGAGGGCGCAGCTGCCTAGTCAAAGCTGAGCCTGGTCCCACTGACCGTGTGTGGCTGGGTGTGACCATGTGCAGACCCTACAGTGACAGTCCAGTCTCCCACTCCTCCCCCCTGCTGTCGCCCCCACAAGCAGTGGCTCCATTCGACTCTCATCTCTAGCAGCCTCTTCTGGCTGTCTGTACTGCTTGGCTCTGGGGCTGTGAGGGTGCCCAGGCCCAGCAGACCCCTGAAGGCTGTGGGGAGGGAGACAGCTCCTTCCCCGTTCCCCACAGGTCAGCCCCAGCCCACTACACCCGCCCTCCCCAAAGCACACTTCCCAGTGCCTTCCCCGAGGTGGAAGCTAGATGGGGTTTCTGGGGTCCGTGAAGATGCGAATGCCAAGGGCAGGACTTGCAAGCATCCGAAGGGACAAGAGCTGGTCACAGAAAAGTACTAGCTTTCCCTGCAGCAGGAAGGACACAGATTTGGAGAGGGACTTCCAACCCAACAGATGTTCCAAATGACAGAGAACCGTCCTTGGACTGGTTTGTGTGAAAGCTGGTGGTCATTGCGGGCCCCCTGCCCCGAGTTTCACTTGAGCTGCAATGACTACGGACTGGGGCAGCGTCCCTGGAGAAGGCGGAGGGGTCAGCGAGAGGCGCACCCCTCCCACAAGCAAGGCAGAGGCCCCGAGGTTCCCGCGGGATGCTGTTAGGTTTATTCCAGGGTGAGTGGGTGCCCATGGGGGGAGCGGCAAGGATGGCCAAGGGCACCCGGTGACAGGGTGCCCAGGGATGGCCACAGCGTGCGCAGGGCTCTACCGGGCCTGGGTCTCCGGCCAGCTGGGAAGCTGGGCCTCCTGCCCCTGCCTGAGGCGGCCGAGGCAGTCACGGATGTAACAGTTTCCGTAAGTCGCAGGGCTCCGTGACAGGCATCGAGCAGGCTTGGTCCTCACACACGTAGGCTGTGGCCCGGTCTTCCAGCCGCCGCAGGGTGCTGAGGAAGGGCAGCTGGCGGGACAGGAAGCTGGACGGGTCCCCATTGGCCAGGATCAGCACCTGTGGGAGCAGCAGAGTAGACGGTCACCGGGGGCTGGGGGGTGCTGCGACGCTGGCGGGGCCCACGGTGGCTTTCCTCTCCCAGGCCTCCAGAGGAGGGGATGGTGGAGAGGTATGGGGCGGGGGGGGGGGGGGGGGGGGGGGGGGGGGGGGGGGGGGGGGGGGGGGGGGGGGCTGGGCAGGGGAGTTGGAGGCAGGGGCTGGGCTCACAGACTCTAACCTTGTTAGGGATGTAGATGGAGTGGACACACTGCAACAGAGCCTTGGTGTCCTTGGCCTGGGGGTCTCCGCAGATCACGATCTGGCCAGAACAGAAGGGTAACTCCAGGGTCAGGTGCAGGGAGCTGGACCAGACCCCCCAGGGGTTCCCCATCCTCCCTCCACTCTGCACTATAGCCCCAGGAAGGAACACAGACTTGGCTCAGCCTCCTCCAGACCAGCTGCCAGGAGGCTGCCTCAGATGCAAGCTCAGCAAGTGGGGACGTGGACACACATACCCGGGAACATACAAAGTGACGGTGTCCCACACAGTGGCAGAGATACGAACACAGGGAGACGTACCCATAGGTGCAGACACCAGCACACAACACACACACATACACACAGAGATATGCAGGCAAACATGCAAATATAACCTGAACACGGGGCATGCACATGCAGGCAGGCAAATGCAGACTGGTGAACGCTCACCGGCACACACTCAGCAGACCTGCACACACACAGTCACACAGCCCCAGGGCCACACATATCTAGATGTGCACATGCAGCAATAACGCAAATAGGGACTGGCACGCAGGTAAGCATATAGCCACACACACACTGGCAGACCCAGCTACACAGACACACAGAGACCTACAGAGAAACGCTTCACCAGCCACAGGGACCCATATCTAGCCCCTGCCTCCCACCCTCCCTGCACTGAGAACCCCAGCAACAGGTGCTGATACAGGCACTTGCCCATGCCAGAGGCCTGGCCCCTCAGATGCCCACTCACTCAGGTACCTCCACTGAGTAGAGCAGCTCAGACGGACATCCCCATGAAGACACCTGCACATATACTCCTAGACGGCCACACACTCACAGACCTGAGCTCCGGGGGATGGCTCCAGGAGTCCCACCCATGTCCCCATCCCCCCACTGCAGCCCCAGATCCCCTTCCACCCAGGGTCCCAGCGCCAGTGCCCTTGCCCCCGCCCCACCCACCTGCTTGAGGGTCTGCTGATGGGCTGAGAGGGCGCGGACCATCTCGGGCAAAGCCACGGGGACACGGCGCATGCGCTCAGAGAAGGCGGTCAGCAGGCACACACACTTGTCCATCCAGTCTTTGTGCCCCGTAAAGCCGTGCAGCCGAAGCAGGTTGTGGGCTGACACAGAGTTGGCACTGGGCTCCGCGCCATCCTGGTCTGCAGGGGGAAGCGGAGCAGTGAAGGAGGCTCACTGGGTCCCGGGACCCTGCCCCAGGATTGTGGCCACAGTTGTGCGGGATGGGGATGGGAGGGAAAAAAGTACCCCCCCACCCCGCCCAATCCGGCTCCAGCTCAGATGGTAAGGCCAGCACCAACAGCTGCTGATCTTTTGTTCTCTCAGCCATTTGCCCCGGGGTGAACTTTTGGTCCCCCAGCTCCCCCATCTCACTGTGGATTCCTCAATCCAGCCACCCAGCGGCTGGAACCAGAGTGCCACCATCCTTGTCCCTCCCTCCTCCCCAACTTCTAATCCACCCAGAGTCTACTGGGTCTGTTGCCAGAGTAGACCTAAATCCCACCACTTCTCCCCATCTCATACTTCTAGCTTGTCTGTGGCCAGCCCTCGCCCGGACTCAATGCCACTAACGGCCTCCTAACTGGTCACCCAGTTTCCTCTGCTCCCTTCTGAAGGTCCCTTGTCCACCTTCAGTCAGAATGATATCCCTAGACCCAACTGGACCAGATTACAACCTACTTAAAACCCGTCAGAGATTTCCACTCCTTGCCATGCCTGTAAGACACTGCAGAGATCCAGCTTTGCCCACGTGGGCGCCTCCCCTCCTCTGGCCTCGGCCCCATCCTCCATCCTCCAGGCTCCTCCTAACCCTTGGCTAAATGACACCTGTCCCCGGTTTGATCGGATCTCCCCCTAGCTGAGTTGGGCCCCGCAGTTGTTCTCTCTCAAGGTCCTTTCATTTCTTCACCTAACATTTATGGAGCACCTGCTATGTGCTGGGCCTGCGCTAGACTCTGGGAATGTAGAAGGAAAAGGAAGTCTTGCTCCTGAGATGCTTACATTTGAGTTGGGGGAGAGAGACCGTGAACAGACCAGATGCGTCAGGTGATGGTGAGCCGTACTAAAACAGAAGTGGCCGGGCGCCTACTTCCTGATGGCACTCACATTGCAAGTATGCATCTGTGCATGCACTCTTGTATTAGTCACTACTGTTTATCAGCTGTTTCCCCTGCTACACTGTATTTCGTGAGGGTTAGCCTTGTGTGATATGTGACTCCAGGCACGCCAGTTACTGCTACCCCCCATGTTCCACCAAATAGCTAAATTCGTCTCTATGTCTACCCTGTGAGTTAGTACCAACGTTAGCTCTGTTAGCTCATATTAAGAAACTGAGGATCTGGAATATAATGAGACCAACTCCGAGTCAAGTGGTTATAAGCAGTGGCGATGCAAACCCATGCTGGCTCTTTACCCATTACACTTCACTTATGCCTCCCCCAGGGAAAACCAAGCCCTAACTGGGTCCTCATCAGCTCCAGCCCACCACTGACCGTCCTTCAGACGCAGGGGCAGACCAGCCCCCAGCTCGGCCTCACTGCTGAAGTAGCCGCCACCTCGGGAGTCCCAGAAAAGCCTGTCCTGCGTGTCCTGCAGCCGCAGAGCCCACTCGAGCCAGGAACTTTCCTGCGAGGCCTCGTACAGATCCAGTAGGCCCCGCACTACGAAGGCGTAGTCCTCCAGGAAGCCCCAGCAGGGCGGGTTGCTGGGGGGACAGGCATTAGAGAAGGAGCTGGAGACAGGCCCCGGGAGAGAGCAGCTTTCCCAGAGGAGGCCCTTGGCCGGTACCCTTTGCCTGTACTCTTCGGTGGGTGCACTTAGCCCATTTCCCGGGTGGGTAACCGGGCCCAGGGAAGTTAAGAGCTCACAGTGAGTGGACAGCAGAGCTGGGATTGGAGCCTACCAGGAGGTAGGGAGAGGGGCAGACATGGGCCTGGGATGCCCAGGGAGACAAGCCTTCCGGGGCCACCCCGCCCCTGACCTGTGCTCTATGGTTCCCCCGGGGCCCGCATAGCACGTCCGCATCAGGCGGCCACTGGCCACGTCAAACATATGCCTCTTCAGGAACTTGGCACCATTGATGGCATAGGTGATCAGCCTCTCCAGACCCAGGACAGCCCCAGTCACAGCGTAGCCAGACACCATCAGTCCTGGAGGGAGGAGACACTGGTGGTCGTGAGAAGCTAGCCGGGCCCTTCCAGGCATGTCCGCCTTGCCAACCCCCCCAAGCCCTGACACCTCTCTGGAGCAATGGGGTGAGAGCTTCTGCCCCCTGTGTGTGACCTGGGGTGGGTCACTTAAGCTCTTTTTTTTTTTTTTTTTATTTGAGAGAGAGAGAATGAGAGATAGAGAGCACGAGAGGCAAGAGGGTCAGAGGGAGAAGCAGACTCCCTGCCAAGCAGGGAGCCCGATGTGGGACTCGATCCCGGGACTCCAGGATCATGACCTGAGCCGAAGGCAGCCGCTTAACCAACTGAGCCACCCAGGCGCCCTCACTTAAGCTCTTTAAGCCTCGGTTGGTTCATCTGTAAATTGGGGATGATAAACCAGATAAAGGGAGAATTGATATCTAGCAGGTGCCTGACGTTTAGAAGGGGCCTCTCGAAGGGTAAATCTGTAAACAGGATCAGGCGTCAGGCCTGGCCGCCCCACCGTTCCAGGCAGCCAGCATCTTGCTGTCCAGGTGTGGCTTCGGCCGATGTTTCCGGGCCTGAAAGAGCTTGTCCAGCCCAGTGTTGAGCAAGGTCCGGACAGCGTCCACGTCCAGGCCAAAGCGGGCAGCGGTCAGTTCCAGCGAATACCGGACAGTCAGCACATTCTGGCCCTTCAGCTCCCCCTTGGGGTCCTGAGGAAAACAGCCCTTTGTAAGAGGGAGTCCCTTCACTTGCTGGGCCTCAGGACCCCTCCCCTGTCCCCAAGCATCCTCACCTGACTGGGGCTGATATTGCCGGCCTCCGTGAGTCCATAGTGCTTCATGAGGAGCTGGCCCGAGGTCAGGGGCTCAGTGGCACCCAGCACAGGCTCAGGAAGGAGCTGCTGGACCTCTTTGACCGTCCACACGTAGAAGGCACCCTCTTTGGGCCGCATGCCCCGCTCTGGGGGTGAGTCTGCGTCCTCTGCGCTATAGAAGCCTCCAGACTGTGGGGAGAGGAGAGTTGGCTGGCCCCAGCTTTAAGGGCAGCGGAGGACCCAAGCCCTCCCGCAACCAGGCCCGCCTGCCTCAGTAGACACACACCCGATGACTCAGGTTCCGAGCCACGTACTGCAGGATGCCTTTGGCAACGTCGGAGTAAAACTCGTCACCAGAGATCTGAGGCGGGAGGAAGGAGACTGTAAACAGAGGTCTCTGGGGTGGCCTAGGTACAGAGAGGGCAGTCAGTGTTCTCCCAGGAGGGTGGGGAGGGAGCCTGGGCATATAGGAGGGAATCAGGGGTGAAGTTAAGGGGGGGCCACAAGTCCCCAAGAAAGCCCTAGAGAGGCAGCCAGAGGTAGGTGGACAGGCTAAGTGTCTGCCCTGGGCCGGGTTCAGGGGTCACCTGGAAGGCCTGTGAATAGGCCACTGCGAGCTGTGCCTGGTCGTACAGCATCTTCTCGAAGTGGGGGATGTGCCACTGGCGGTCCGTGGAGTAGCGGTGGAAACCCTGTGCCAGGCAGGACATGGGGCTAGAGGCCGACCCCAGCCTCTGTCCCCACCCCCCTGCCTCCGGCTGCCCCGTCCAGGAAATGCCTAATCCCCCTCACCTGTCCCACATGGTCTCGGATGCCCCCGTTAGCCATCATTTTCAGGGTGTGCAAGGCCATCTGTTGGGCCCGAGAGCCATCCTGGGTTAGTCGATGGCTGAGCCAGTAGGAGAACAGGAAGTTCAGGATCACTGTGGGCACCAAGTGCACTTGGGTGAGAGCGTGGGGGAGACAGGGGGCAGAGATCTGGGTGATCGGGAGGCCTTTGGCCAGGCTGGGGTTAGGGGTTCCCTCAACAAGCTGTCTCCCGGGACACCCTGGAGGTTAGGAGGTCAATGGTCAACACGGAGGACAGAACATCATTACCCAGGTCAGTGTCATGGGGTTGCCGCTCAGACCAGAGGTCAGGTCTTCACGAGCGAGCTACTGGCAGGTGGGGGGAAGGAGCTCACTGGCCAGTCAGGAGAGCAGGTGATTAATGACCCAGCCAGCGGTCAGAAGAGATGGGCCAGACAGGCATCAGAGGGCTGGGATGGGGGGTGAGACACGCGTGAGGGGGGCACAGACCCGGCGTGGGGAACTTAGGAGCCTCCGCAAAGCCACCATACTCTTCATCATAGCCCTCGTCCAGCTGCTGGAAGCAGCGGCTGTTCATGGTGGCGGCGGAGGGGGGCACCTGTCGGTCACCCATGCTGATCTCCGAGCGGGCCAGCAGGGCTGTGGTGACACGCTGGCTGTTCTCCAGCAAGGTGTTCCTGTTCTGTTTCCACTGTGGGAGGCAGGGGCAGACCCGGAGGTCAGCCTACAGTGGGGGCCCCTCGCCCTCGACCTCCCCCGCCTCAGTCCCCACCCCTCTCCACTCCCCAGGAGCACACCCACCTGCTCCCGTATCCTCAGCAACACCGTGCGGAAGCCAACTCGGGTCAAGCCATCCTCAGGGGGAAAATAGGTGCCCCCCACAATGGGCTGGAGGTTGGGAGTCAACCACACGTTCATGGGCCAGCCCCCACCACTGCTGGTGGCCTGGCAGAGAGAGGGCGAGGGTGAGGGGAGTGGCCCCCTGTGCGCGGATGACCCCCTGCCCAATACACGGGAAGACTGCTTACTTGCACGAAGGTCATATACACCTTGTCCACGTCCGGCCGCTCCTCCCGGTCAACCTTCACGCTGACGAAGTCCTCACTGAGCAGGCGGCCGATCTCCTCATTCTGGAAGGATTCCTCCTCCATCATGTGGCACCAGTGGCAGGTGGAGTACCCCACTGGAATGGGGCCATGGTGGGCCGGGAGGGGTACCAGTGACTGGTTGGAGGTTTCCTGGGAGGCCCCAGGCCCAGAGGACGCTTCCCCTTTCCACTACCGCTCCCTTCCTCCCATCCCAGAGAAGGTGGCTACATTACCTGAAAGGAAAATTGGCTTGTTTTCTTTCCTGGCCTTGTCAAAGGCTTCCTGTCCCCAGGGGTACCTAGGCCCGGCAGGGTTGGGCATCACTCACTAGCCCCAGGATCGGGGTGGGTGCAGAGGTGGGGGGGCGTACAGGAGGGGCTGAGAGCCCAGCTGCTCCCTCCCCCCCCCGCCACCCTGCAGGGGAAAGGGCATCAGGAGTGGTCCTCACCAGTCCACAGGGTTGTAAGCATGTTGCAGGAGGTACGGTGACTTCTCATTGATCAGGCGGTTGGGAACCTTCTGGAGTGTGGAGGGGGAGCAGCTGGTCCGGCTTCCCTTCCCTCCAACAGGCATGGGCACTGTACTGTTGACTGTCACACTTCGGTCCTTGTCCCGGGAGGAGCTACCCCTGGCATGGGCAGGTGGGTCAAGTGAGGGGTTCCCCCCTCCCCGGGCCTACCCCAGAGGCCCATACTAGCACCCCCCCTGCCCTCTGGCCCCTCTCCTGGAACCTCCTGCTCCCAGCCCAACCCACCTTTCTGAACCACGGGGGAGACCGTGGCCTTTGTGCTCCCCCTTGTGTTTTTGGGGGGGTGAAGGAAGGTGGCTCATGGGGGGGCTCCCTGCCAGGTTAGTCTCCCCCAACCTCTCAGACCTGGCGGTGGGAAGGATGATGACTGTGAGGTCAAGGTGAGTCACAATGGGCAGAATGGCCCTTCAGTCTCCATTCTTTCCCCCACAACAGGGCCCCTCCCCATGATGGCTGTGCTGGAGATATCTCTCTGGCAGGCCTGGGCTGGTGATCTGGGCAGGAGGCTGCCTGCTGCTGGTGGCTGGACAGGGCAAGAACTGGATCTGGGACTGGACTGGGAGGGGGGCAACGAGAGGAAAATCGACAATGGGGACCTTCTCACTCAACATCCACCCCTGGGCACTTCCATGAGGCCAGACCCGCAGGCCGCCCAGGGGGTCAGAAACTGGCTCAGATCTCGGGGGCGGGGGCTCAGCCTGGGAGCCTGGCCCCGCAGGGCAGACCTAAATGACAGGCCTCTGCAGCCATAGGGCTGTGACAGGTCAGTCCAGGGTGCCGCTGGATAAGGACCCTAGGCCCAGCATTGGGGTTCAAGGAAGGCTTCCTGCAGGTGGTGTCAGGAGAGTCCCCGGGGAGCTAGCCCTGCAGCAGGAAGGGACGGGGAGACGGGAGATGCGTTACGGCCTGGGCCAGGTCGGGAGCAGACTGGCGTGGGGAGGAGGCAGGAGGGGTGGCTGGGCAGACACTGGGGACCAGCGCAGTGGACCGGTCCCGGGGCCCCTCGGGCGCAAGGCGCGCCGCAGCAGCCCACTCACGCGCCCGTACCTGCGGCTCGCGGCGAAGCCGGACCCGGCGCGGGGCAGCAGGAGGCCACGGCCCAGCCAGGCCCGTGCGCCGAGCATGGCTGCCGGCGGCCGAGGCCGGGACGCTGCGGCCCGGGGAAGGAGGCCTGCACGCTGCGAGGGGCGGACCAGGGCACCCCCCGCCCCCGCCCCAACCCCGAGCCGCGGGCGGGTCTTCGCCGAGACTCCCGGCCGCCGCGTGGCTGGTCTCCGCGCGCCGCCCGCTGGCCGAGCGTGGGATGGCAACCCGGGCAGCCCGGGCTTGGGAGGACGCGCGTCTGTGCCCCAAATCGGGCCGACTCAGCTGCCCGCGGGGGGATCACCCTCCTGGGAAGAACATGGAGGGTTGTGAGGCTGTCAGAGCCGTGGGATGCCAGAGCCTCAGGTCATTTTGTCCAACCTGGTCCAGACCCACCTGGCCAAATAAGCTCCATCTCAAGGTTCTGCGCAAATCCCACCCACTCCCAAGAAGGCTTCCCTGAATAATAACGATGAGCCAACGTCGTGTCCTATTGTGTACTTTACACACTTGTCTCATCTGCTACATTCAGCCAATATTTCTTGAGTGCCTACTGCCTGCCAGGCACTCTGCTTAGGTACAGTGGTGGGCGGAGAGAGACCGGGCTCCTGCCCCTGGGTTGCTCAGTCTGTAGAAGGAGCCAGAAGTTAATCTGACAGCCACACACATGAATGTAGGACCACCCACTTTGAGAAGTGCCATGACTTCTCATATAAAAAGGAGCCTGGTCTGGTGGGAGAGTCGAGGCAGGAGAGGCTTCCCCGAGGAAATCACATTTGTGTAGCAGCCATGGAAGAACAACAAGAGGATGGGGTCCGGAGAGGGTGTAGGGGGAGTGCTGGGGAAGCAGTAGAAACCGATGTGCAAAGGCCCTGTGGCATAGCAGTGAGTCAGAGCTGAGGAACTGGGGAAGGCAGGCATGGCTGCAGGGCAGAGAGCCAAGGGAAGAGAGAGAGGAGAGATGACGTTGTGAGTTTGGAGGAAGGCAAGCCTCCAGGTCCTGGTGGGACTCAAGAGCTGTGAGTTAGGAGTTTTGGTTATGAGAGAAGAACGATATTGAAGGGCTCTGGTCAGGGGAGTGACCCTGCACATTGGAAAGGTCCCTCTGGCTTCCTAGCGGAGAATGGACTGGAAAGGGGCACGAGTGGAAACAGGATTGGTTAGGAGACCCTGGCAGGACCCAGGGGAGATGGTGGAGGTCCGCACCTGTGGAGGTGGAGCTCATGAGAAGGTCTTGAGGCCTGTAGAGGAGGCGACATCGACATCCTCAGGATTGGCAGTGAGGGAGAGGGAGGTGTCAAGACTGGTTTGCAGAGCAGGGCTTATGCTGGAGGGTGAGGCCATTTGCTGAGGAGGGGGCACGGAAAGGCTCAGGTGGGATTTTGTGAGGTCATTTTTGGACGTGTTGGGTGGAGGTGCCCTTGAGATGCATGTGTGGAGAGAATGTGGAGAGGAGAGGTTGGTGGGAGGAATCAGGGGGTTCAGTGTGCAGACAGTGCAGGCCTGGAAGGGCCTATCCAGGGAGCAGCACGAGGAGAGGAGCAGGCTCAGGGACCTCAGGGGTGCACCCATGGAAGATACAGAGAGAACCACTGGAGGGTCAAGGGAACACCAGGAGAGGGTGGTGTCCCAAAGGCAATGGGACAGAGAGTTGCAAGGAGGAAGGATCCTCATGGTTGGATTCTGGAAAAGCCAACTGGGATGGGACAGAAAAAGGCCTACTGGCCTTAGCAACATGGGTCACTGGGTGGGCTTGGCTGACAGCCAAAGCCGACTGGAGTGGGTCAGGAGGAGGGAGAAGACAGGAGACAGAGAAGTAGCATGGGTGCTTCATATGAGGGCAAAGATGGAAACACTTTCAAGATGGATGAGGCTAATTATGGCAAATATCAAGGGGAAAGATTTGGTTGAGAGAAGGCAACTGACATCAAGGAGAGAAGAGATCTCTGAGAAGGTTGGAGTGGTGGCGGAAAGGTTGGCAGGTGGAGGGTCTGGTGGGTGCTTCCTGGAAGAAATGAGATTAAGATCAGAGAGCAGGAAGCCTGCCTTGAATGTGAAGGAATTTAGGGTGATGACAAGCCCAAAAAGAGTGACCATGGGTAAGGGTAGCTGAGAGGTCAAGGCCATCCTCCTGAATAATGGAGTCACGCAGAGTTAAGCAAGATCTGGGTGAGGAGATTGTGAGCCAAGACCGAAGCATGGGGAGAATGAGGTGGAGCACAGCCCCAGGTGGAGAGCAGGCAGGACAGCCAAGTGGCTCCAGCCTCCAAGAAGGAAGGCTCTTATAGGAGGCAAATGGTCCAGAAGTAGTTATGGGGAGCAAGGCTACCAAGCTCTTCTTTGTGGGGGTCAGGCAGCACCCCTTGGGAATCCTCAGGAAAGTCAAGTCCACAAGGGAGAGCCAGTTTAGAAGAGGAGGGCCCAGGTAGGGGAGAGGCGATGGGTGAGGCAGCAACCAAGGATGGAGACCTCCCAGGTGTGTGTGGCCGAAGACAGATGGGGGCTGGACTCTGGGCACTGCCTGGCAAGACCAGGAATGAGCGGTATGATGGACTCATTGCTCACGGGTAGTGTCTCTGAAGAGGGTGGGCCGGGGGCCAAATGAACACTGGCCTGGGAGGAGCCACATGGCAACCTCATAGGGAAGAAACTCTTGTTCCCATTTGACAAATAAGGAAATGGAGGCACAGAGTCATAGAGAGGTTAAGTAATTTACTCAAGGTCAGGGAGCATAACCACTTATTACTAAGTGATTATTATTATTAAGTGCAAATCTTGGAGCAGAGTTTTGAACTTTGTCGGTCTGACTCCTAAGTATGTGCTCTTGTCCATCCTGCCTGTAACAGCCATGGTAGGACTCCTTCCCTCCCTCCCAAAGAACAAACAAACAAAAAAAAGCAGCTCCTTTCCCCAGTCCCCCTTCCACTTAAGAAAGAGAGCAGCATCGTTTCCCCCCCCCAACACACACACACACTTTGGTGTTTCTGGTCCATGGAAGGCTGTTTTCCCTCAGTGACCTAAAAGGGGGTGGGGGCTGGTAGTAGGGCCAGACCCTGAGCACTGAGGACAAATCAGTGTCGGGTGGTCCAGTGGTGGGAGAGCATTGAGGAGAAAAGGAATGGGGGTGACCATGGTGGACTTCAGAAGGTACCAGGCCCTGCCCCTCCCCTTGGTTTCTTAGACCCGACATAAACCCTCAGGAGGGGTCAGGCTCTCTCAGCAGGGCTGAGATTGAATTTCTTGTCCGGGAAGGGGTGGGGGGGCAGCTGGGAAGGAAGGTGGGGGAGGGTAGAGCCAGATTTAAGGTGACTCAGTAAAACAAAGGAACAGGAGGACTCCAGGACCAGGCTTGTCTCCCCACTGAGTTCCAAGCTCCTGGAGGCTGTGGGCTTAGCAATTCTTGGATCCCTCCCAGGTGAGCCCGGCACTTTGTTCACGGTAGGTCAATATTTGTAAATGAAACCTGGGGCCCAGCCTGGGAGCTCAGGGCTGTGGAGCCAGACGGTCGGAATCCCAGCCCCGGTCCGCGATAGCTTTGTGACTTTGAGCATGCCGCTTAACCTCTCTGAGCCTGTTCACTCACCTATAAAATGAGAGCAGGACCAAGGGTTATGCACTTGGTTTAACGCTTTGCTGCCCCCATTTTGAAATTCTTAATTTGGAAAAAGGGCCCCACCTCTTCATTTTGCACTGGGCCCCACAAATTATGTAGCCAGCCATGAGTGGGAATAGTATGATCTACCTCAGAGGATCGTTGTAAGGATTAAATTAAATAATCTGTCTAAAGTGCTTAGCAGAGAACGAGTGCGCAGCGAACGGGAACACCTGCCTATTGTTCCCTGCCATGAGATCATCCCCAGTGCTTATCTGTGGTAAATGAATGAAATGAGAGAATGAGTGGGAGCCTGGGGAGCATCTGGAAGCGAAGGTGCCAGGCTGTGGGGGTTGTACGGAAAGTGGGAGCATTTTTGCGCCCCACACTGCGGGGCACTTGTTCCCACGGCAGCCGGAGATTCGCGCTGTGGCCCTGACCCAGCCGCTACGCCTCGCAAAAAGTCCACTTGGTGGGAGGGGAGGCGGCGGGCTCCAGTCTTTACCACGCGGGCGTGGTCTCAGTCCCGGGAAGTCGTCAGTCTCAAGCTTCAGGAGCCGCGGAGGGCTGCGGAGGCCCGGACGAGCGCCGAAGCGGGCCGCGGGGCGGAGTCTCAGCCTTTCCGGGCTTCCCCGGGCGGGTCCTGGGGCGGGGGGGCGGGGGG